ATCCCCCTTGACCTGGACTAATGCCTGAGGACCCAGCTGAAGAATAACAGCCAAGAAGATGCTGACATCACCATGCTTCACGGTACGCATGGAGTTCTTCTGGTGATGAGCAGCGTTGTTTGGGAGATTTCAAGTGCGTTTTTACAAAATGTTGAAATTAAAGGTGAACCAGGGTATGATTGACACAAACCTGTTGAATCAGATTTGTGCCCAAAAAGTACCAAGCAAAACCTAAAAAATTGTAAACAAAAAAAAGAGAAAAAAAAAAAAGAAAAAGACTGAGCGATCCAGTGCAATCTAACTCAAGCAAAACAAGTCGCCTTAAAAGTTAAATTTATGACTGACAATAAACATATTTGTGTCACATTTGTTGCAGTTCTTTTTCTTTCTCACTAATGGAGTTTTGTTTTCAATGATAGCTTTCTCCTTTCCACTGCCTGATTGATTGTGAAACGGCTTTGTCATTTCAGCAGCCCGACTTTTTGATTGCAACTTTTGGCACAAACCTCATGGATGGGCGGATTTATGAGGAATGACAAATCAGTGACCTGTAAGTCATTCTAATGCCGTCAGTATTTTGTGTCACTGAACATAGTTCACAACAAGGACGCATGAATCAATCATTTTAATTAAGTGTGTGTACGGTGTCTGTTATAGATATCACCAATGCTGTCATCGGATGTTTTATAGAATTTTTGGAATAGTTTGTTATCTTTTAGGATGTAACTCTAGAATTGAATGCCATTAGGTGCATTAGTTAATGTGGCCGGTGGCAGCCAGTTCATAACATTCAGGCATCACTCTGGCACCTTCTTGAATAAAAATCGTGTTTACTTCATCTGTAATCAGTGAAATTAATCAAGTTTAAAACTACTTAAACTGTCCATTCCTAATTAAGAAGAGTGAATAATAGAGTGAAAAAATACAATTTCAATCACCTGTCAAATATAACCCGGCCACCTGCACCCACATGTTCAAAGCAAACACTGCTTGGGTCTTTCTTTGCAGGGACTTTTTACAGTCTAATGGCAGGTTTGGTGGCAGTCAAACCAGGCCCCAAAAAATTCTGTGTGCACATGTGTGAAAGCACATTTGCTGTCAACCCCAGCTTGGATAATATGTTCCTGTCTTCCAGTGACAAATGGCACTCACTGGGAGCCGGTTCAACATTTGAATCAGAAGCAGAAACATTGGACTACAACACACTAGAGAAAAGGGGGGGGGGGGGAACGACAGCAGTGCTGCGCATACTATGACTAAGTCAGTGGAAACTGAAATGAACACAGTCTACTGTCAGTGGACTGTAATCTTCTACCCAAACACACGGACCTTGAATACAAAGCACTCAATTGAAGACAGTGGGGGGTACAAAGAAGGAACAGCTGCATTTCCAAGATGGAAGCACATACATAGTTTGAGAGAATTTGCCGGAGTGTTAAAAACAGCAACTTCTGTTCAGAGTTTCTATCAAAAGCCCATCAAGCTCACTGCAAGCACTTTTACAATAATGTGGCTCCGCAGGTCTTCTCGGTGCAAAGTCGACGACAGATTTGTAATCCATTAACGCAAAAACGAAAACTCATTACACGACAGAGAGTGTATGGAATGTACATATGGTGCGTGAAAAATCAGCATCGTGCCATTCATCCAAAACATACACAATACAATTCTACATTTGAACAATTTTACAAAGACAGAGCAAAACGATTTAAAGACATATTTGGTCTTGTGGACGTACGGCACCTCAGCTACTCCTACTGGGCACGCAGCTGTAAAACCTACAGACATCGCACTCATTGAGGGAAGGTCTCCAGCTGAGATGACCCCTGACTTTGACATTACATTGTCATGACCTCTCAACTCCTCTCCTGTTTCTACCTCACATAACTTTTCATTGTTGCACTGTATGTCTGTTTTCTTCACCTCCTCGAGAGGTATGGAAGTCATTTTTTCCCATTATTCAATGTGTGTTTCCACACAGGGGCTTTGACAGTTGACCTGGCGTCATACTGTCAAAGGACCAGTAAGCAACATTTCATAGTGTCTCAAGCTTCTCCATTTCCCCACAGCCACTTTATTTGGGGTCTAACGCATGGCAGGGAGGTGGAGAAAGGGACGAATTTTGCTTTAGGGAGCTAAAGTTGCCCCCCAAACAATCTTTAAACCCATTTTCAGTGGGGTGCAATTTTGCGTTTCAAAAAAGGATGAATCTGTCTTCAAGGTTGGTAATCACGATTATTTTGATTGAGATTTAAAAATACATATATTAAAATGATTATTCATTGATTTGAAAACGTAGTATTTATCAACTACTAAACCTCAATGAGTCAAAACTAACATCATCACCTCATGATCATTGATCCCGACGGATAAAACACTTGATTCTTGAACACTATTCTTTTTGTCAGGTACAAAATGACCTAGTCTGTGAAATTCAAGACTACAGTATTTTCATTTTAAGCTTTGGGACTTGGGCGGCCCGATGTTCCAGTGGTTAGCACGTCGACCTCACAGTGCAGAGGTACCAGGTTCAATTCCAACTCCCCTCTCCAATGTTCTCCCCGGGGCTGCGTGGGTTTTCTCTGGGTACTCCGGTTTCCTCCCACATTCCAAAAACATGCATGGCAGGCTGATTGAATACTCTAAATCATCCCTAGGTGTGAGTGTCAGCGCGGATGGTTGTTCGTCTCTGTGTGCCCTGCGATTGGCTGGCACCCGGTTCAGGGTGTCTCCCGCCTACTGCCCGGAGACAGCTGGGATAGGCTCCAGCACCCCCCGTGACCCTTGTGAGGATACACGGATCGGAAAATGGATGAATGGATGGAAGGAAGTCTTGGTACTTACTGAGCTAATTTTATCCTACTGTCATCCTCTATCTTCAAAAAACACACAAGTCACACAGCCATGTCATTGTACTAATGTAATGTGTCAGGTTTATAGTCACCCACATCACCTGCATGCAGTCATGAGGCATTTCCCTTCCTATTGTTTTTCAATCACTTCTCCAAATTGTTACCTCAAGTCAATGTGGTAGCACTAGCTCGGGTAATTTAGGACCGTTTTCCCTTGGGTTCACTTCCTTGTGTTATAGGTCCAGTTCCAGTGAGCCGGCTTTAATGACGGCACACAACTCCGAAGCAATCAGCCTCTCCCAGGCCACAATTTAAAGCAATAATTCTGGCAAGAGGTAACTATAAACTGAATGAACCTTTTTTTATGAATATCGGTTTCTGCATAATGTGCCTCGAGATCCTCCATGCGGTCGTCAATTTCAAAACAACACATTTAACTGACACCCATTATTATTGGTAATTAGAGTTGCCAAGAGAAAAAAAATGGAGAGGACAGCTCTTAATTTGAATTTCAGATCAAATACATCATATAAATTTGTACTGTAATTACTGTGATTTTTATTTATTTATTTTTTCATTTCATGGCTTCAATATTAGTGCTTTGTTGTAACCTCAGGCTCTCTGTACAGTTCCTCATGTCATGTCTGGATGCACTCTCTGGCCTGGTTTTTCAATATAAGTGCGACAAAAGATAAGTGAAAAGATCAGTGTTTGAGTCGATAGTCACGACACGCTTCAGATTACCGTTTTGGGGTCGGTGTCTGAGTTTTAAACACCAAACAAAGGGACTTATGGGTCTCTCTTTTCGGCACTGTATCTTTTGGCTCTTTTTCCACTTGGTTCTCTGCTCAACTATATGTCTCTTGTGTGTTGTTTACACCCATGCTCCTTTTGCGGTGCCGTAAAGCAATATTTGTGGGTAATGTGAAAATACCGTGAATACTATTGCTGCAGTATCACTAACGTTCATTCATTATTCATAAAATTTCAGTGTAGCATCCAAAGTGTAGGGCTTCTGAAGTCGCTTTGTCATACAAAAGCTCACAAACTTATACTCTATCGTGCATGCACAGTGCACAGACTCTGTTTATTGATCCCACACATAAACAACATCATATTTAGCATGTCATCGCTGGGGCCCATTCTCCAGACATGACCAGTTCACCCACGCTTAATCCAACTGTTACACAAATGCAGTATTGCAAATCTATCGTTAATGCCTAGAGCGTGAAGCACAAGAAAAACATAAGAAGAAGGGGCCTCTCGTTACCGTCTCAGACGTTTCATTGATGTAGCAACAGAGCCAACCCACTATCAACGAAAGAGTTATATAAGGTGGGTTATCTACTGTACTGCATACATATGATGAGCACACTGCAACATTATACTTGAGAATCGATTTTAGCGCACCAAGACCAAGTAAGAGAAGTACTGATATTTAAGTGTCGACCTGCAGAGCACAAAAAAATAGTATACTGTATGTGTATGTTAGATTTTAGCAGTGTAGTAGGGAGCCAAATGTATTTGTCTTCTTTCTTTTCTTCTCTGGAAAGAGAACCATCAAAATGTGGCTGCTATTGGGTTCTTATCTTCCTGTACCTACGTATGCTTCCTTCACCTCACTCATCTTTCAGTGTTCATCTTTTCACACCTGCCAAACTCGCCAACACATCAGCTCTATTTTGCCGCCTTCTAATAGAATCCCTCAGCTTCACTAATGGGTCTGTCAGCATCTCGGCAAGAACAGGAGAACAGATGAGAGTTCAGGCCACATATGGAGAAAGATTCAAAAAGATGAAGGAGAGGGGATGGACTTTGAAAGCTTCCCTGACATACAGTATGCCTTTAGGAGAGGTTCAATAAAACAGCTCCACTGGCACTGCCAACAAGTGACCAAATGCTGCCACAGAAGCAGAGCGACTTAAAGCCTTCCCATCGTTCCGTTAATAATACTTCCACAGCAAATACTGTAGTTCCCACCAATGAATTTGATTGGACATAATTCATTCCATTTGCGATGACATACAGTACTTCCCATGTCTCACTCCATTCTACAGCATATCAAATTATGGAGATTCTTCACAAAAATATTAAGAACACGCAGTATAAGACATTATACAGACTCGGATCATTTCAGTTTTGTCTTACCATTGTCGATGGCAATGAAGGCAGCGGTGTATTTATTGTCATGAACATAAGGAGATTCACGGTCCAGAGAGGCCAATGTGTTGACAGTTCCCCGCAGTTGGTTCACAGTCAGCCAGCCCGCAGGATCTCGTAGAATGGCATACCTTGGAAAACACAGTTGAAAACTTATTATGAACCCCAAAATAACAGCGCATTTCATGAAAACAACTGCTATTAAACAGATTAACACAAGAATTCCTCTCATCTTTTAGTTATAAGCTTATGATCTCATCAATAGATTTTATGTTTCAGTTAATGGATAGAGAATATTTTGCCAGAGTGGAAGATTTCAGGAATGCAGCTCAATGTCCCACACATAGTTATTATGTACTTCGTTTTTAACCCTGGAGAACCCAAGAACCCTTTTATTCTTTGGAAAATGATGAATTACACATTAAATGACTGCTATATGTTCACTGAACACCAAAATATATGTTTTTTTTCAAATATTTAATGCTTTAATCCTAATTACGATTAGGGCCAAATTTGACCCTTTGGGATTTAAGGGTAGCATTTCAGTAGCAGAATTTATAGGGGCCAAATTTGACCCCGTGGGTTCTCCAGGGTTTAAACACAAAATGAGATTGAAAATGCAAAAAAACAAACAAAAAAAACCAACAAAACCAATCATGCCGGTAACCAAGCCTATTTTTAATGCTCAATTACTCTCATCCCTAAACCAATAATGATGCCATAAAATTGGTTTTGATCGGTTGTGCAGTTCAAAGGAATGACGATCACTGGCTGTGGAGTGGTACATTGCATTTCATGCAACTCGTCATTTGAAATATCTGGCCATAAAGGGCATCTAGTACTCCAGGTGGCAGTGAAAACAGTCTTTGAAACATTTTCTCTCTGACAAACTCCAAAATCTAACAGAAAGTCTTTCCAAAAGAGTGGAAGTATCATGATATTGCTTTTTCGCTTCCTCTGGGTGCAAAGTGCAGGTATCTCAATACTTTTGTCTGTATAGTATAATTATGTCTGCATAACTACCGTATCCACTTTCCCTCCTGAGAGCAAAATATTGCCATGATTGGAAACTTTCAGAAGAGTGAGTGCGGGAAGAGAGAGATGGCCCACAGCCAATGCTAATAAACGTTTCTATCGGAGCGCTGCAGCATGTATGTAAGCGTACGTTATAAGGACAAGGGTTTTGCTGACTTGCGTTGGGCCACAACCACTGTGCACTTCATCTAAATTCACAGCAGGCAAAGCGTGAGGGAGGGAAAAGAGATGGAGGCGAAGCAGGGAGAGTGATGATGAGAGGGATCAAGAAGGAAGTGAGGAAAAGGAGGCTTCATACTAAGAATGAGGTAGGTTGCAATGAAAACACATTTTCTCCACTTTCTTCGCCTCGTAATGTGAAATCTGCTTCAATAGTGCTACCTGAGGAGCAGCCTTACCCAGGTCTAGTTTAGTGTTGCACCAAAAAGGTTTTGAGCCAACTCTTTGCCTGTAACTATTCGACAAAGTTGGCTGGAACGAAAGCAACCAACATGTTCAGTGGTCCATTTAAAATACTTTTTTTCCTTCTCATTCTTGCCATTTATATTTTCTCACAGTACCATTTTCAGTTGTTTCCCGATCTGTATGCGAAGAGCATCTTGTTTTGAATACAAAGCAGTTTGATTTTAATTGATTGCTCTGCGTTCAGTGGTGTTTATCCCAGTGAAGAAAGTGATACATGCGAGTGATCAAGATGGATGGCTGACATTCACAAATGTCTTCCAATTTCGTCTGTGAGAGCATCTGGCAGCATTAATTTATTCACTACGTTTTCTACAAATACACACAATTGAGGTAACATCAAGTTTCCATCATCACGTATTTTTGATTACGTCATATGCAGACATGCAGTCACTTTGAGACAAACCACTTGCATATATAAAGAGGTCTGGCTGCGACCATTAGAATCATTCACACATTCCAGTCCCACACAAGTGATTGCAATGCTGACTAATGGCACCGATCCCAATAAGGTAAAGTGTCTAAGATTTACAGATGTGGTCAACTTATATTGAAGTTGTATGTATGTATGTATGACCCATTAAGTTGAGTGTGGAAAACTGGCTTAGTGCAACAGCACGTATGAGCTAAGGCATCGTGATTTATGCCGTAAAGCGGTGGTGCCCAAACTTTTTTTGTGTCACGGACCCATTGTGTTATTTTATTAACTGATCTTTTTTTCATTCCTTTCAAACAGTGTTATTCAACTGTACAGCAAAATGTAGAATTAAAAAAACAAAACAAAACAGTGAACTAGTCAGAAATTGACCAATTAGTAACAATAAATACACTTTATAATGTCAACCTAATAATTTTAGTTATAACCAAGGGGTGTTTTGAGTGGACTAGATACTCTCGATATATTCTGCCTCGTAAATACGGAGTCTGTTGGTTTCCGGTCTGCTAACACTGACTAATTGATGACCTTTAGTTTCCAACAATCTTTTGTCTTCATTTCATAGCGTGTGTCTGGCTGTGCGGCTTCCAATCATTTGTGTGTGTGTGTGTGTGGGGGGGAAATATATACATATATATATATATTGAATTTTACCATCAGGTGTCATAGTCAGGTACAAATCATGGCCATCACTAAGTGCATGCCATGAATCCAGAGGTTCTTTTTGCTTGTGTGATGCTATAACTCAAATAACTCCACCAAAGCATAACTTTGTGGAGTGCAGTATGGACCAAGCAAGAACACACTATACCTCTGCACTGTGAGGTTGACATGCTTTTTATATATATATATATATATATATATATATATATGGTCGCCGTGCAATGTGAGCATAGACATCGTTATATGTTGTGGTTTTTCATCCAGTAGTTTGTGTCGTGATGGCATTCAAGAGGTAGGTTAGGTCACTTAATATCCACAGAAGACCTGGAACGTGCAACTCGTATACATACAGTGTGTGTGTGTGTGTGTGTGTGTGTGTGTGTGTGTGTATATATGTATATATATATATATATATATATATATGAGCTGAGCTGTCAGTTTAGCGCGTTATATATAGATAGATATGCGCATTTGTGAAATGCAATGTAAAAAAAGGTCACCAAGTAATGTGCAATAAAGGTCCAATTTTCAAGCAACTGTTAGACCTTTCTTCCGTATGCCCCCCCCCCCGTAATAAATAAATAAATGAAAATCTCACTTCATGCTTCATCAGATCAGTGCTGTAAATTGAAAATACTATTTCCTCGGGCCCTTGGTTAGACATGGGCCCTTAGAATAACCCCCATGTCCCCCCTTCCCCTTCCCCCTGCTGAGTTCCTTCTTGCAACAAAGGTCACATCCTCTTTAGTTCGAAACTTAACCCATGACATCTTTCATACATATGCAGTAACTCCCGAACTTTTGTTCAGTTTGGAGACTCAACAGTGAAGATACTGTCTGACCATGGTCAGCTATTCATATTGTTGATGTATCACACAACAAGCTTTGTCCTTGCAATGAATCAGTGCTTTTCCTATTCTCTTACCTCACCCACGGCTCTTCAACGCTACCTGAGAGTCCTCAAGCCCGACATCCAAGGTTCCACTGCTGTCTTCTTTTAAGTCCCATGTCTTTTACCTTGCATATGGCCACAGTGAGAAGTGAAAGCAGACAGGGAGCTGCTGAATAATGCATGACCTGGATTCTTGAGATGTTCTCATTTTTCAAAGCAAGGTTAGAAAAACAACGTACGAGTACTTTGCTAGAGATAAAGAACTCCAAACAGAAGCCACAAGTGGGTTACCAGGATAAATGAAAAGAGTTCAAACGAGGTCAATGCTGTATTATATTAAATATTAATAGTACTATGTCACCAAAATATAAGAATGTGTTGAGTACAGTGTCACAGAAAGAAATATATTTCATTCATGACTAATTTTTTGGGGGGGGGGGGTGTCACCTTACTGTTACTGTTAGAACGTTCTTGATAATTATAAATACTGTAATTACAAATGTATGATCTCTCATGCTTACAGCAGAAAAAACAGCATCCATGCCATGATAATTAAGACATATGAGGAATAGGAAATAGAAATTGCCTTTTTATTGTAGAGTACTTCCGATGTTTCTACAGTGTTTTCAAATTATGCCCTTAACTTCAGTTCGAGCAACTAATCTCTGAAAATAGCACAACAATTAGCAGCAAATCTTTCTTGATCACACACCTAATTATGAATTCCCTTCTTCATAGCTCACTCGGCTTGGCAATGAATAAGCACGCCATTTAAGCCTACTTAAATAAAAGTGTTCTTTTTCTTTTCTTTTTTTTTTTTTCAATTTCAAGGTGCAAAGCGACCATGAAATGCATTTCCTACATTGTCACACAAAGATGACGAATGCATAAAACTCTTGACGTCATTGCCACCTGATTTTCCTTTATACTCTCCTAGAACCAATCTGCTGCCCTTTGGCTAAAGCAGTTAAATTTGCCCAAATGTTTCTCACTTGAGAGATGACAAATCCATGCAAAACCTAAAATAGTTTGGCCTCCATTCTAAACATGATTAAAATTAAAATATTTGATTTGATGTCATTTTGAGTTTGTGAGAGAGAGAAAGTGAAAACCGAAGTAAAATCACTTGGACTTCTTTGGGAGGATGACTGAAATGAAATTGTTTTGGTTTGGTTTACCCTTTTTGGGTTCAAATAAGATTGATGATTGTGTACATTGCCCCATGTCTTAAAGGATAATGCCACAATACTGCTTGCATGTGGTGGAGCAACAAATGGAACTCTATATGCATAGACAGCATATACTGTACTCGGCTGGAGTTTACCGCCTGCAGTGCACTCAACCACCACAAGGGGCACCACATTTTTTTTTCTTCATTAAATTTACAAGGCTCAAACAGGAAAAACCTCTGGAAACCAGTCATTATAAAATACAATACAATGCATCTTCGAGAGAGAGAGAGAGAGAGAGAGAGAGAGAGAGAGAGAGAGAGAGAGAGAGAGAGAGAGTTTTCGTCTTTTGTGACATCAGAAGAAAAGGAGAGAGAGAGAGAGAGAGAGAGAGAGAGAGAGAGAGAGAGTTTTCGTCTTTTGTGACATCAATCGAATAATAGGTTATTTGTACTCTGTTCTGTAAATGCATCCAAATAATTTCACTTTGAACATTCAACCTTGTCCTTTCTGAGAATAGGCTACCAATCCGACTGTCATGCAAGCTATAGAATAGGCAGAGGTGGGTTATAGGGTCACCTCTGAGAAGAAGCACATGAGGTGTGGGCTAATTTCAATCAGATAGTCTTTATATGGAAAATATACACACGCACATCTCAGATGTGCGTGCTTTGGTTCTGAATGCCATCCACTGTGATCCAAGGCTCAGACGGATTGTGTTCCGTGTCAAATATGCATTTAACCTGCAGATGCCAGGGCACCTACGCACCAACAACGCACACACACACACACACACACACACACACACACACACACACACACACACACACACACACACACACACACACACACACGCTCAAGTAAACACCTGCACATTTATGCACAGAGGCAGACACAGTATCACAGTTAAAAGAGAAACTGACTTCACTGCGTTGTTGTTGTTTCATTCTGTGCACGCTCCCCCATCCTGCCTTTGCAAAGATCCCTGTGTCTGTCTTTTTCAGCGTCCTCAAACTGTCTACAGGTCACAGCTCTGGCATAGCAAAATCTCCGGTACAAGTAAAATGTCAATGAATGGAGAGATTTAAAAAAAAGCAAGTGGCTCATAAGTGAAATGATAAAAATGTATTCCACAGATGAGTGGTTTGAATATGAAAGATATGCCGGTATGCATAACCTGTAGGAGCCAGTTTGATTGATATGGAAATGATGTTTTGCTATGCTGTTGTTCAATCACACCGCACCACTGACATTTGCTCAGTGTCTCGCAGCAGTTAAAAGTTTTAGATGTAAATCGGGAGCAGGAAGTTTAGCTTTTGACTTTCCCTTGTCATTATAATCCAAGGGATCTCACTGCTGATCCTCATCCAACAAGCCGGCAACATGCTTAAACAGGGATCCGGCTCAGGGTGGATTTACGCCATGCGACTGAAGTGACACAATTCAGGTTGTTTTCACAGTCCATCATAGTGGTGTAAAGAGAAAACGTCAAATGAAATGGAAGATCCTCCGATCAGAATAAGGGCTCTCCAAAACGTGGATAAAAATTAAACATCAATCAATGCAATGTAAACTAATTACCTATACCTCGTCTAAGCAAGCGTGACGTTACGTAAATCAGGCCATCAGTGCAACAAAACAAAATATCAGCACCTCGAGGCACATAAACAGACTTTCAAGTAATTCTAAGTTGGTCTGTCGCGTGTAGGCGTTGATGTTCTTGTTCTGCGCTATTTCATTCATCCAATCTGAAGGGCGATTTTAAGATCCGCCGTCGAGTAAGTGGTCACCGAAGTGCTGTGCATGAAATGGATGAAAGCCCATCTTCCCGACAAAGAGGTAGATGGAAACGCTCAACCGGCCTTCACTACTCTGGTCACAAACCCGCTACCTTCAGACGTCACGACCTACTCACCGTATTCTCCATATGAGGTCATGCGAGCCAGCAGTTCGACCCAACGGCCTTGTTTTTTCGCTCCTAAGAGAGCTGTGCACCTTATTAGTCTCTGCATTTTACATAATAGTCTTTTCTATGTGGTTTTAACTCCAGCCTCCCATTACTTAGACCAAGCCTCATTGTTATTGATGAAAAATGTGAAAAATCTCATTAATAATATTGTGTGTGATTATTTTGAAAAATATGCTTTTTCAAATGTGTAGCGCTCCTAATAGTCTTCTACCCTATATGTAGTTGAGTACAAACTACTGTATGAAAAATGCTGTGAATATTTATTATTAGAAAAAAATAGAAAACACTGTACAGAACAAGACAATTTACTATTCTTCACATGTTCCAGCCCATCACGCGGGCACATTGAAAAAAGAAACATGAATTGGAAGAGCTGTTATTACTGAGCACAATTTGAATTCAAAACAAGACAAATTGCTCAGAGGCAATTACAAATGACTGCTGCTCTATCACTAAAGTGGTGCTGCTACTTTATCAGACGTTTATGGACACTACACAAATCTTGAGATTTCCAGAACCTCCGGTGCAACAACACCACATTATCTCGGATTTGATTCTGACACTTTCTATGTTTTACGGCACACAAACTCACCTCAATTATTTGAGCGGTAAAGTTACAATTGAGCGGTTTTATTTCCTCTGGTCATTATCATACCCCTGTGTTTAGTTAAGTCTATTTGTAAACGTAATGTAACTACTGTGGGAAAAGAGGATCACATTAGGCCAGAAAGCCAAAGAAACGGATGAAGAGTACTCTGCATTGCGCTGCTTCAGAAGTAGACTTCCGTGTCCCCCCCGCCCCCGTTGTATCTGTACCAGTGTAAAGTGATTTGTATCTAAAGAAGATAAAACTGTCAATAGTTGGCCTTGCCATCAAATGGGAATCAATGATTTTTACAAACAAAGAAAGACCGCTGGATTATTGGTTTTAAAAGTTTGTCATGGCAAGCGACTGCACAGAGAGGCACGATGGCTTTGCTGATTCAGTTTTGACTGAAATACCTTACCGAACATTCTGAAGCTGTAATGTATCCGGGTCTGTGGCATTGAGAGAGGCTATAAAGCTTTCCACTGGGATGTTTTCCATCCTGGTGACAATCAGCGGGTCAGGGAAAAAGACGGGTCCTTCATTCATGTCTAAAACTTTGACTTGGACAGTCGCTGTGGAGCTGGGGCCATAACCGGCACCGGAAAGCAGAGGGTCTTCATTCTCCACTTTAATGAAGACTTTGTGGAACGCTGTGCCTTCATAATCGAGAGGCTGAAAAAAGGAAATGTTAAAGCAAGGACATTCAGATGGTAAGAGACAAATGTAGTATTGACATACCTTGACAACTGAAAGCATTCCCTCATTATTGTCCGGGTTGGTCTGGATCTCGAAGCTCCGTGTGGGATCTCCGTTTATGATGGAGTAGACAGCCCTCCATGCGCCGGTCGCTGGGTCATCTCTATCATCGACTGTCAAGTTAACGGCCACACCGGTTGAGCCTTCGTATACATACGCTTCAAACTGGAGAGACAGACAAAAATGAACATAAGCAAAAATTAAGAAAGAAATAAAAACAACACCAACAAAGTATTGTAATCTACCTAAATGCAGAAACTGGCAAATGTATAGATGGGTTTCATTAAAATATTTCCACTCTGGAACTGGCTAGAAATAATACACACACTTTTTTTCATTTTAATGACCTTTGTGTATGTTGTATTTTCTGTAAATAAGTAATTAGTTATTTTTACAGTAGTATCACAAAGTACTGTAACAAGCTGAAAAGTAAAGTCACATGGTCAATGGTCGATTTAATACCATTAAATAACCAAAGAAAAGAAATCTCACCTGGTGTTTGACATTAAAAAGTATATTTACTTGTGTACCGCTTTGATTTGTGCTTTACTTCAATATTTGGAGAACATATGACAATGAACTGCAGTAAATTTCACAGATCAATGTTTCACTTTTCGCTCCACTACTTTTCTAGCGAGAGTGTGTAGTTCTTGTTTCCTTCAAGTCAGAAGTGAGTGCGTGTTTCAAACTAATCAAATTACAATTTACAGACAATAAAGAGACAACATTATTAACACACCCAGTGGAGAAGAAAAAAGAAGAGGCAGTTTTAAATTCTTTCTTGTTTTGGGATTTTTAAACGGCACCCATGTAATGTTTGGTTTCCGTCTCAAAAATTAAACAAAGAGGTTTTGAGTGGCTACATTTGTGTTTGTTGAACTGGAATTTTAAAAGAAAAATTTCAAAATTTAGAACAAATACTTTTGTTTTTTAACCCTCATTATTTAAGAAACCAAACAGTACATTTTTCCAGTAAAGAGTGAAGTCCAAGTCAACGTGATAAAAAATATACTAACAATATCTCGAGATATATCGTTACACGTTTTTTAAGTGTAAGAATAAGTGAACCAATGTTTCAGGGGACATTCGACAAAACAAACAAAAAACAACAAAAAACAACACAACTGTACGTCGTGAATTGAAGAAGATCATGTTTGGAAAGGTATTTGTAGGGAAGAGATCAGGGACCTCATTGATCAAAGAGCACATAGAACACGTTCTAAATTAGTTTGCACAACTGAAATGTGTGCGAAAGTACAAGAATAAATAAATAAAAAATAAATCCATATTTATCAAATATGACGACACCTGTCGTATGCACACCAGTAACGTACAGTTTGGTTCTGCTTGAAACAATGACGGACCGAGGATGACAGACGGGTGGCTGGCGAATAACGAATGATAGACCGGCAAAATTTACTGATGTGCCCACCGTGTCTTTGACCTTGTTTTTCTACATTCACCGAAAGATAGCCTGGTAATTACCACATTGACAGATAAAAACGTACTTTTTTACAAACTGTTAAGGTGTTGATTTGATTGTACCGGCATTCTCTACTCTAGCCTTCATTTCTTGTTTTCTATTCATCATATAGAGAGTAAACACTTGTGTCCTTCATCGCTAGTTTCATACAGCGGTTAAAATCCATTTTACACTGTCAATTAAAATGCTCCCAACTGATAATGCTTGGCAATAGGATTCAATCAATTAAATAGCCAAGGACTCTGCCAGTAAAATTCAATAAGGAGTACAATCTGAACTTAAAAAGATACGGACACACACACACACACACACACACACACACACACACACACACACACACACACACACACACACACACACACACAAAAGGCATCTGTATGTGTGTCTGTGTGTGCATGTCAGCACCATTATAGCGGCAGAGCTTACAGTGTAATCTTTGAAACACAAAACACCCAACTTAAGTGAAGTCAAGATAAATGCATTTCTTGTCAGCCTACGGTATTGTTGTTTCACAGATTACCTTCTTAAAGCTACACCCTACTGAAAACCATCCATTTGTCTGGGGAGAGACAAACATTGATTTTGTCTTTATCTTTTCCTTTTTATATCCAATGCTTGTTTAAAGCACTTAAACCATTCAGTCAGTCAATGCCCAGAGGAGAGAAACACAATGTTTGCTGAAGGAGTAGACTCCACAACCAAAGTATTGTAACAGTGAGGTCAATTCCTCTGTTTTTGCTGTGGAGTGCAAACATTGGAGTTCGAGAGGAAAAATTGAATAGAGCAGGCCCTCAGTTTTATGACACTGTATTTTCCGCACTACAAGGCGCTTCAGAGTATAAGACGCACATTCAATGAATGGCCTATTTTAAAACAGTGTGCATATATAAGGCGCACCGCATTATAAGGCGCATAGAATAGACGCTACAATAGTGACTGAGGTTGTGTTATGCAGCCACTAGATGGAGCTACCCTAAAGAAAACACAATACAATTCAATACACCTTTATTTATATAGAGCTTTAACAACCGCTGCAGCTTCAATAAAGCGCTTTACAGAACTGTTAAAATATTATGTCCAAGAAATCGGAATATTTATCCATACATAAGCCACATCAGATTATAAGGCGCACTGTCGGCTTTTGAGAAAACCAAATGCTTTTAGGTGCGCCTTATAGTGCGGAAAATACGGTAACCTGAATTTGTACACAAGTCAGAACATGCCTACTACTAATCTACACTAATGTAATAGTAAAGTCATACTTGGTGTAACTGTGCATGCCTTTTTATGCCGCTACGTCTGGAAAGAGACTTGGCTTGCCTAAAACTAAAAATTAAATTTTTGGGTCATGACTTTTGTGCATAATAACCGATCTTCCTAATAGTTTGTTTGCAACTTTTTTTTTTAATTGACAACAATATACCTGTAGCCTTATGAGGCAATGCTGCTCTGTCTATCACTGAATTGAAGAAGCCAATCCAGGAACAAGCCGAGCAAGCCCTTGCCGTGATATTCTGTTCATTGTGTTTAACAGACAAGTTTGCTTGGAATCATGAGCAGATACTTTCTTTTCTCGAAGCATTAGACATTACATCATAAGGATAAAACTTGGATCGTCAATACATAAAATGTTGTCACACAATGTTTCAGCCTTGCCTCTGGAATTCTTTTAATGAGTGGTTTGCATTTAACGGTGTAGCCTCTTCTGTGAAAAGTAGATTGGAACTTCACTCCTGCCAGCTGGAAGTTGGTCTTGACACCCACTGGTTGTCTTAAAATCTCAATATGTCATCAACTGAGTTGTTTTCCATGATCTTCCATCTGACACCTCTTAGTACGTAGGGCATTCTCACAAAAAGTATCAGATCCAGAGGTCAATCAGGTCGTCTCCAAGGCTGTGCAGCTACAAATGAGTTGCTCGAGCTTTGTTACAAATAGGCTATTGGTAGCCTCAGTCAGACCCTTTGAATTTGATTAAAACAACCTTTCTAATTAATTTTAACATAAAAAACCCAAGGTGTATCTTATTTATGACTTTAGTTTTCAAAACTGATGCATTAGGGAAAAAGAAAAGAAAAAGAAAATATCTTCAAAACCTGACAAAAGCACAGGGCACCCTTGCGCTTGGGTCCCTGGTACACCAGTCTAATTTTTTTCCCCCACTTTGTAATTATCCAAGATGGAAGAAAAGAGAAAATACTTTAAATATATTTTCTAAGGAAAAGAACAAACAAAAAACATGCAGGAAATTAGTAATCAGATAAAATTTCCTGAGATAAGTATCTGTCTAAAAATGGCAACACGGTAGATTACTTGCTAGCCCAAAAAAGTGCTCCAGGCATAACCGGTATATTTGAACAAAAACGGTCAACCAACAAATAAAGAAGGAGCATATAACAAGACTCAAAGCAATATTATAATCTTCACACACCACAAAAAAAAATGACTAAAACAGATTTAATGAATTAATGAGAGACGTGCCGTCCTGCTTGAAATGCTCCGCTATTATTCCAGTCCCCAAGAAACCTGCAATTTTGGCACTGAATGACTCCAGGTCTTTCACTCTGACATCTGTTGTCATGAAATTCTTGGAACGCCTCATGTTGAGCCGCCTGAAGAGCGTCAAAAGAACCCTGCTGGACCCCCTGCAGTTTACCTACTGAGCAAATAGCTCAGTCAATGATGCGCTCAACGTGGGTCTGCACTTCATCCTGGAACACCTTCAAAGACCGAGACAAAGATCCTGTTTGTTGCCTTCTCCGAATGGCTCCACACCATTATCTCTGAATTCCTCTCTTCCAAGCTCCTCTATCTAAGTATATAATCCTGTCATCTGCCGTTGGAGTTACAGCTTCCTGACATGCAGAAAAGAGCAGGTGAGGCTGGCGGAAACCAACTCATCCACACGCATAATCGGCACCGGATGTCCCAGAAAGATATGTCCCAGAGAAAGCCACTTTCTGCTGCTCTTCTCTCTCTCCACGACTGACTGCACCTCGGCGCACTGGAGCTGAACATGCTCAAGACCGTGGAGATGATTGTGGACTTTAGGAAACATTCTTTGCCACAGTTGGCCCTCACGCTGCGTCAACCATCGAGACTTTCAAGTTCCTGGGAGTTACAGTCTCTCACGACCTGATACGGGAGGCCAACATCAAGGCACGGAACATCCGACATCGCCAGGACCCCTGGCTGTAGTTTTCTTGAACAAAAGAGCACAGATACCCTTGACTGTCCCCCGAGCTCCCGGCTCCACTGTGAGTCACTAAAAAGTGCTATTGCTATTTGCATTTTTTGGACGGGATCTTAATCCCCCCCCCCCCCAATTTTGAATCCCCCCCACCTTCCTTCCCCATAGTAATTATTAATGATTTGCTCATTTTCCCCATTTAGAGTTGGACTCAGCCCCTATTCCCTGCATACAGGGTCAGGGTTTTCGAAAAACTTTCAGAATTGAAGATCATTCTAAAATCGCATGACTGCGTAGCTGAAAAAAAATCCTGATGTCCAATTTAGTACATTTAAACTGAAGCTTTAAGTTATGACACACTTTAAATATCTGACAATGCATATTCAAAGAAAAGATGAAAATCTGTATTCGCTAAGCTTGTGTTTAATGAAATTTTGCAGACTTTGAGTTGGCAGTACAAATTGCTCAAAAAACATGACCATTTACCAACTA